CTGCCGATGGGGACGCTGCCTGCAACCCACTCCCCGATGCCCTCTCAGCCACCACCACCCTGGGGGTCGCGCCCCCCAAAGGGAGGAGGGCGCATCTCCTCCACGCCCTATAATCAAATTCCCCGCCACAGGATTCATGGTGTGTCCGGTGTGTCTTTCTGAGCTGTGGATTTTCATGATGAGTCACTACAGTATAGAAACGAAATCACATTTGTTTGGACGTTTAGTGGATCACATTGAAAAAAATAGAATGACTTCGTGAAGCTGTAATTATCCTGGAGAACCTGGGATTTGGAGTCCTGGCAATTATCCTGGGTCACCCAGGAAGTGAATCACGTCGTAGCTCAGTCAGCAGGGAGCCACGGGCTTGCTGGTCGGCTGGCTGAGGGGAGACCAGAGGAGTTTTAGAACTAAGACAGAAGCTGTTAATTAATGCTGAGAGAGGCGGGCTGTGGATGGACCCGTGTGTGAGAGCTGAGCTCACCCCTCCTCCTCTACCAGCAACGCACCAGCCTCCTTCAGAACTGGAAATTAGTTTTGTGCTAATTTGTGCTCTGCTTGTATTCCTGGGTATTTAATGTGAAATAATGCTTGAGAAATAATCTACTAAAAATAAATCGAGATGCAGAAGAAATGGTTTTGAAGTTTCAGAGGTCAGTCAATAAGATTACACTCACCATTTGGTTTTTAATTCCTTTAACTGATGCTCTGCTGCCTGTTGCAGCATTTCCTGTTTCTCTGAAATGAAGCAAATTCTGGAGCGTGGGGGAGGTTCCCGAACATGTATAGCAGTGGGAGCCGGGGCTTCTCGCGGGCAGGGCAGGCTGAGCTATGGCGTCACCACCAGCCCTTCACCCTCTGCCCCATCCCAGCTCCGACACGCCGGCTGGGGGGCCACGACTGAACCCCCTTCCCATGGAGAGGGGCCCCGGAGCCTTTCCATCCGGTTACAGGACTCCCTGTTTAGAGAGTTGTCAGCATGCTTCCCTGAAGCACCCAAGCGAGAAATATCTGGAGAGAGGGGGGCTTTCAGAAGTTATTTCCCTTGGGAGCTCAGGAACAGCTGACGGCAAGGGCCCCACGGCCTGGCGGGATGCCTGCCGTGGCAGGCTGGGCGCTGTCCCCTCCGCTGTCCCTCGTGCCCTCTTTCCTAAGCCACACGCTCACTGGGGAGGACCCCCCGGCCGGGGGGTGGGCAGGGAGCTGCAAGTGCTGCACTGAATGTTCCTGAGTCTTCCAGCCCAGAGGAACGAACCCCGTCCCTGAGCTGCCAACAGCCCCCATTCCCCCCGCCCCCGTCTTTGCACCGCTCGCCCTCTGTGGGCAGTTCCCTCCCGCACCTTCACCCTGAACTCGGGGCCCTCCCACTCCCCAGCGTTGTAGAGGGTCCAGAAGAGTCCACAGAACTTTCCTTGTTTGTAGTTGATAGGATCGACAACACAAAAAATCCAAGATGTACTACAAACTATTAAGATGATAGGGTGGTTCCGCAGAGGGTCTGATACGAGATGAACTTAACAAACAGGAGCTTTTCTTCACATTAAAGATACCCATGCGTAAGACATAATGGAAAAAAGAGCCTATTCATAGCATTGACAAACCTCTACAGCACCTGGGCATGAGCCTAGAGAACAATGCCCAGAGCCATATGAAAAAATCTCAAACTAGGCTGAAGGACGTCAGAACAGCCTTATTAACTGGAGAGACATACTATGTACATAAACAAGAAAACTATTGTACAACTACAAATTCTTACTAAATTGACCTATACACCCAATGTAGCCCCAATGGAAATCTCAGTGGATTATTACAGAGCTTAAATTTTTATTCTAAAATTCATCAGAAAGAGAAAATAGGCAATAATAGCCTAGAAGCTTTAAAAGAAGAAGGAGGAGGGGGAGGGGGGAGGAGAGGGAGGGAAAAGGAGGGGGAGAAGGAGAAGAAGAAGGAGGAGAAGGAGAAGGAGGAGGAGGAGGAGGAGGAGGAGGAGGAGAGGCAGAAGAAGACAACCAAAAGAAAACCTGCTCTCAGCAAGGTTGCCATGAAAAATTGGGGAAAGAATTAGGCTTTTAATAAATGGTTCTGGGGAGCCCTGAATATCGACAGGCAGAAGAAGGACACTGGACTCCTACTTCAAGCCACAAATTTATTCAAAGTGGACTAAAGATCTAAATGTAAGAACTAAACCTGTAAAACTCTTACAGGAAAACTCGGGTGTAAATCTTCATTGTCTTACATTAGGTAGTGGTTTCTGAGATAAATACCTAAAGTGTGAGCAACCAAAGGAAACTAATAGATTGCTTGGACCTTGTCAATATGATCAACTTTTGTGCTTCAAAATACATAATCAAGAAAGTGAAAAGACAACCTGCAAAATGAGAGGAAATATTTGCAAATCATATTTCAGATTAAAGGCCTAATATCCAGAGTACATAAAGAACTTTTCCAACTCAACAATGAAAAGACAATAACTCAATTAAACAATAGGCAAAGGATTGGAATAAACGTTTCTCCAAAGACAATATACGGATGGCCAATAAGCACGTGAAAAGATGCTCAACGTCATTGGTCACGAGGAAAATGGAAACCGAAACCACGGGGAGGTACTGCCTCGCAGCAGGACGGGAACGGTGGCAGGGAGAGACGGCGGGTGCGGGTGAGGGTGCGGGGAACCGGGGGCCCCCGTGCGTTCCCGGCGACCAGATGAGAGGTGCTTCAGAATTACACGTACAAGTACCATGGGGCCCAGCAAACCCACCCACACGTGTAGAACCGCTTGCCCACTCACAGCGTAGACCCAGGAGAACGGCAAACACGTGTCCGCACAAAAACCTGTCCACGGATGCTCATGGAAGCGCCATTACAACAGCCGAACAGTAGAAACAGCCCAGTCCTCCTTGTGTGATGAGCGGCCAAACGAAACCTGGTGGACCCAGACCGCACAGCTTCATCCCGAGACAAGAAGGGACGGGGTACCGACAGCGGCCACGGCATGAGCGGGCCTTGGCCGCAGGGTGCTCGGGGCACGAGGCCGGCCCAGGGGGCCACGGGCCGTGCGACTCCACAGCGTGAGGTGGGGTGAGTGGAGCAGGCCAGTCCCCGGGCGCGGGAGGTGGATTCGTGGTGGCCCGGGGCTGGGGGAGGGGCAACGGGAAGAGCTCGTGGTGTCTTCATTAGGCTGACTGGCTAAGGCCTCTTTCTGGAGTGATGAAAATGTTTTGGAATTAGATGGTAGTGATGGCTGTACAACGTTGTGAATGTATTAAAACCGTGTCCTTTTAAAGGGGAATTTTATGGCATGTGAATTTATCTTAATATAAAAGAACTTGATCTTGATATCACAGTGCAGTCCAGGCGGGGTGGTGCTGGTACCGGAGTGGACCCGTGGAGTGTGACTCCGTGGGACGGCGTGGGAGCACAACGGGAAGCCACGTACAGTGTGCACGTTCGGCGTGTGATAAGGCAGCGTTTCCAATCGCACACATGTGCACATTCAACATGTGACTGTAGCATTTCCGATCATACACAGCTGCGCATTTGACATGTGACAGGGAGCGTTTCCGATCAGTCAGGAAAGGAAGTGGTGACAATAGCCGGGTTCCGGTTTGTGGGGAAAGTTAGATTCCCACCTCACACCCCTCAAAAAACAAATTCCCGCTAGATTAAAGCGCTCACTGTAAAACTATAGAAATAGAAGGAAATAAAGAGGTACCTGCCAATGGCCTTAGGCCATACACAGCACGCATAAAGGGGAAGATAGATTTGACTGTAAAGGAACTAGAAATTATACAAAAAAATACCGTAAAGGGTCCACAAGACCATTCTCACATAATAACCCTCCAGGTATTAATATCCTGAATATCCAAAGAACTTCTGGAACCAATAAGAAAACGTCAGGATAACGAATGTCCTGCACCAGTCCCACCTCACACCTTCGGTTGTCATTCCGACGACCCCAGAGTTGTGTCCTGTCCCCCCACCCAGAGGGTGCCTTGGCTCCTCCGGCATGGAGTTGTCGGATCTCCTGGACCGCACAATCCCAGCTGGTCCTCCTTCTCAGCAGAGTCAAGGCTGTCCCTGAATTTCGGTTTTGTAGGCAGAACAGCTGAGCGGCAAGCTCTGCCTGGAAACAGCGAGTGACGGTTGTCGTGAGGGACGGCGCGCGTGCAGGGCCACAGCGGGGACGTCTGAAGCCCGTGTCCCCTTCGCTTTACCCTCAGACCGCGCAGCCCTCAGCTGCGGGGCCTGCACGCCTCTGGCGTCCAGAGGTCTTGGGTGAGGAGGGCGGCGTGTACTCGGCCACTTCCCGCCCGTCGGCCACTTAACTGGGGCTGCCCCGTAACCGTGGTTCAACAGCAAACGTGACCTTGACTGTGGAGAAGCCCGTCTGCACTAAGGAAGTGTCCCTGCTGGGGCGTCTCCTCGCAGGCACTGACGTGGTGAAGGAAGTGGGACGTCGCCGCCACGTTGCAGAGGGAGTTTGACTTAGACTTAGAGGACCTTCCCATTTTTCTTTCCTGCTGAGTTAGACTTTCGCTCTTAATTGGGCGATCCAGGGAGGTCCCCTCTCTCCCCGCTCACCTCTCCCTCTCGCCGGCTTCTCTGTTTTCAGAAGCCATCGATTCAGACCTTGCTGTAGTGCATTTCACTGTGTGCTTCACTACCCCACACGTTCTTCCCCTCCCCACGAAAGACGGTTTCCGGGAGGGTGGCTGGCAGTGCCGACGCAGGTATCCGTGTGGCTGGACTTTGTACACATTCAGCCCCAGCGCTTCCCTGAAGGGTGGCAGGGACAAGGACGGGCCTGGGTGGTTCCCCAGCCCTGGCCGTAGACCCTGGCTGGCTCACGTGGAGCTTAGCATTTAACGTCGGACTCTGTGCGTGATATTCCACGCCAGAGGGCATTCTGTAGTTAAAAACGGGTGCAGACCATCCGAGGCAGTTGGTTTATGATGAGCGGGCAAGAAAATATGACGACTGAACCGCCTCTCCTTTTCCAGGGTCACTGTTACTACCACGGGCACGTGCAAGGATCTCCCGGTTCGATGGTCAGTCTCAGCACGTGCTCCGGACTCAGGTAAGTGGCCGTGACGGTGACGGCTCCGGCCTTCAGCCCGGCCGCGCCAGACCTCCATCCCCTTCTGCTCACTCCACCGCGCTGAGCGTGAGTGACGGGGCCTCAGCTCCCCCCGGCCAGACCGGAGGCCTCGCTGACGGCTCGCGGGCGTACAGCCCACCCGGGCTCACGGTCACCCGGGCTCGCGGCCTCCTCGCGGCGCCTCCGTGTGCGCCGCTCCCTGATTGGCACTCTCAGAGTCCGCTCTCTCTCCTTCTCCTCCTTCTTCTGTGCTCCTTCCATTCTCAGGCACAGTATATTTTTATGTCATCAAAGGGTTGTGTACAGCTCCAGGCTTATGTCCTCAACAGAGGTCCCCAAAAGGCATCTTGCTGGTCTGGATTAGGTCACAGCTTCATCCCTGAAAGAACCGCTGTGGCCAGCGGTGGGGACGACACTCGGGTGTAACGCGTTCTGTGCTCGCCCGCTGGGCCAGGCTGAGGGCAACCCGCACCCGGCCCCAGGGCCTGGGATCAGGGCAGCCAGGGACACCAGTGAGCGTACCAAGAAAAACCAGAGAGCTTCCCTCAGGAAAAGGTCGGATGAGGGCCGGGACGCTCAGAAACAAACAGGCCCCCTCCAACCAGCTTCCACGCGCTCAGGAAGACGTTGTCAATGATCGAAACCGAGGCCGGGCACACACAGAGGCATCCAGGTTGGTCGGATAATTTTCAGGTGATGTTTATCAAAGTCTTGATCGGTACATAGAAAAGGGGTGTCTCCAAGGTATTCCTATAGCCCCTTTTTACAATACGCAAAACAATTTACAAACCAGCGACATCAACTGATTAGCTTCACAAGTGAAGGGGAACAGCTGGGTAGCAGATTCCCAGAGGGCGAGTCAAAGAGGACAAAGGTGGCCCCTCTGTGCTTGGCCTTGCCCCTGGGTCGGGCAAAACTCCCCACCCTTCTCCCCAGGGTGCCCCCCCTCCCAGGCTCAGGCAAGTCGCCAGGGTCCCGCTTCTTCCCGCACAGAGGGGCCCGTCTCTGACCGGACTGTGCAGCGTGTCTGAGTCTCAGCGCCCACCTTCGAATCCCAGCACCTGGAGGACATTCCTTGCGGGCACCTGGCACAGCCCGTCCCCTGGCAGAGAGGATTACCGTGATGTTCCCTTGGCCAGGATCTCAGAAAAAGAGGAGTAAGAGCTGCGGCATCCGGTGTCAACCCCCAAGACGGGGTGGGGACAGGAAGGGATGGTGCTCCTGGGAACTTAGACTTCCCGGATCTTGGCACTGTTGTTGCAAGAGCAGAGGGTGGCTCATCAGCAGGGAATTCCCCAGGGGTACGGGGCCCACTTCACAGCCTTGCAGGTGGGGTGTCGGACCGGGGAAAGCCCAGCTCCGTCCGCTGCTCACCGACAGACGAGGGGACAGAGGCCGGAAACAGAGGGGAGACGCAGCTCCTCTAGCGCGGGCCTGGCAGGTCTTCAGAAAGAAAAGAGGGATGAAAAACGGCATTAAACACAGCATGACCCGAAGATACATGCGGATGTAGGAATGTAGGGGGAAACTGGAGTGTCCTGCGGGACGCATTCATTAGAGCCCAGCCGATGACAGTTCTGCGGAGAAAAAGCAGAGAAGGGACGCCCCCCACGCTCGCTCCAGAAGGGCTTGATCCGAGACGGGCAGGCCAGGAAAACCGTCCCGGAACGGAGAGGAGCGGAGCGAGGCGAGCAGCCGTCCTTCCGCTGAAGCCTGGGGGGGCGGGGCGTCACAGCCCTGGAGCATCAAAACGGCCCATTGCCCGAGACCTGATTTTATTCATAAACACCCCGTTCCCACCGCCTCCCCACCCTCAGCTAGCGCGTGAGCTCCCGGAGAGAAGACGCTGTCCCCAGTTCTTCCTGTCCTCTTGTTCTGCCCGCTCGTCTCCTACACAGGTATCTGGTACCAGGCGTCTTGGGGGCCCCCACTGTTGAAATAAGCCAAGAGTTTTCCCATCATTTGCAGGCCTGGGGGTTCGAATGAGGCTTCACTTCCTAGGGAACCACCTGGGCTGTGACAGACATCAGCCAGGCACTCAGGTAATGGAAATGGTGTCGGAGACGCAACCTAGGTGCTGGGTGTAATGGCAGCTCCACTTTTAATGGGGTTTAGGATGCCTGAGCACAGGTGTGCACGGACTCACACAATCGCGCTGGGCACACGTGCGCACGCACACGTACACTCCCATGCACCAGCTTCCGTGGCGTGGCGAAGACACTCAGGCCATGTCTGACCATGGCCTCTGCGGCCACGAGGGCCAGGCCGGGGGTAACCAGCAGCGTGTGGCAGGGCAGCTGGCGGAGGCGCAGCCCTCTGGCCCCCTCCCGGGGCCGCAGCTCCAAGCTGCAGACTCCCGGGTCATGACGCTGTTGCCACCTTCTGAGTCAGCTGCCACCTCCAGACAGAGGCGTCTCCTGTGTTCACATGGAGCTTCGGCCTGTTCTCACGTGGCGCTCCCTGCAGCCGCGGGCCGGGGCCGCTCTCCTCGGCTGACGGACGAGGAAGTGGCCTCCCCGTCGTCCCTCGGCTACAACGGGCAAAACTCCATCTTAAACCCACATCTGGCCGACCCCTCATTCCATATGGTTCCACTAAGCCTTTTGCACAAGTTGGACCCAATTTTCTCTTCCAGCTCATCATCCTCTACCCGGAGGCTGGGTCCCCTCTGACCCCTGGCCACGTTGCCTCTGGCCAGGGTTCTGTGCTGCTATCGTCCTTCCTGTCTCTCCCCCCCCCCCCCCCCCCGTGGAGATACTCGTTCTGTCATCCTGTGCAAACATCTGGGGGAGCCAAGGTCTCCACCCTGAAGGACTCCCAAGGTCAAGTCTCAGCTCTCCCTGGCCCCGCTCTCGCACAAAGCCTGAGATGTCCAAACCCCACACTCCTCCGGGACCCCCCTGGCTCCGCTCCTGGGCTCTTTTCCGTGCCAGGCGCCGCCCTCCTGGCCCCGGGATCTGCGATCGCCCCCACCTGCCCCTGCACACGCCCCTCACCTCTTCCATCTGCCTCTTCTTAAACATTTCTCGTCACCACCCAAAACCAACCGTCACTCTCAGAGTCCTAACTTGCCTCCCACCCATGTTTCCTGCCTCCGCCCTCCCCTTCACAGCCGTCTTGCACATTCCAGAGGGTCGTGTTTCAGAAAAGCTGCTTGATCCTATCGTCCGTCCTGCCGCCGCCCCTGCACTCAAAACCACACGGCTCCCTACGGCCTGCACGCCAAAGCCTCCCCTCCACCCCCCGGACGTTTAATGATCACCTTCACACATCCCGATCACCGTCTGATGTGCCGGCGGGGCCGGGCAATGAAAATAAAGAAGGAATATGCTTCCTGGGTGTATAAAGCAGCCAGACATCTTTTTATTTTTTTAAGATTTTATTTATTTTCTTTTAGAGAGAGGGGAAGGGAGGAGAAAGAGAGAAAAAGAAACATCGATCAGTTGCCCCTCCTACATGCTCTGACCAGGGACCGAACCTGCAACCCAGGCATGCGCCGTGACCTGGAACCAAACCGAGGACCTTTAGCTTTGCAGGATGATGCCCAAGCAACTGAGCTAACATCAGTCAGGGTCAGACATCCTTTTCCTACACTGTCGTAAGGGCAGTGAAGTAGTGAGCTCAGAGCCTCAGGGGCAGCTCGGCAGAAGGGCCGGAATGCTGGCAAGTCCTGCGGGAACCTCGGCTAACCTGGACCCCAAAGGTTGTGCGTCAGTCTGGAGGTCATTGCAGCCGAGGGCTGCCCCAGGAACATGCAAGGGCTTCGGGTGGGGACGCAAAGGAACAGGACAAAGCCTGCGCCCAAAAGCAGCTAGTGTCCTGCAAGGCCAGAAGGGCGGCCACCAAGGGTTACAGAGCAAGGAACAGGTCCATTCGATAGAGGCCCTGGCGTGGAGGGGGAAGGCGGAGAGAAAAGGGAATGGCAGGTGCTGGCAGTTGGGAATTTGAAGTGTTTGTAAAAGGCAGCATTTTCGTCTGCATGAACAGTGTGTAGCTGAATGAGCAACAAGGCCGCAAGGCGGCCTGAGGCCTAAAGCCACGGTGAGGGGTGGAGGCAGAGGTGGGAGCCCCCAAGTCCCATGCCCCACCTTCCTCCGAGGCGCCGCTGCCCACCCGCCCCTGTCCTCCGGTCCACGGCGCCTGTCTCGGAGCACGTTGACCTTCCTCTTGCCTGCACGCGCTCCTCCGAGGCCACGCGCCCGGCCCCAGGCTCCCCACGTCCCCAGCCCTCCCGTCCTCCAGGTCTCCTTCAAGGCCCCTCTCCACACAGACCTCTGGTGCTTCTCTTTCTCATGTCATTCGCTAAGCCCACCCCAGCGCATGTTCTCGGTGACTGAGCAGAAGGGGCCGTCCGTCCAGGGTGGCCGAGGACCAGAGAGCAGGCTCGGGGGCCAGGTCCTGCTGGGGAGTCCCGGTGCTGCCACGGGCCAGCTGCGGGACTGTTAGCTTCCTGGGGCTGCCGTGACACACGGCCGCAAACTGGCTCCCAGCAGCGGAACGCGATCCTCTCACAGCCCTGGAGGCCAGGGGTCTGGTGCGAGGGGTCGGCAGGCCAGGCCCTTCAGGCGGCTCGGGGAGACTTTGCCTCCTGCCTCGCTGGCTCCTGGCGGCTCCTCCCAGCCTGGCGTTCTGTGTAGGGCCCCACCCCATCCCTGCCGCTGTCGTCACGGGGCCTTCGCCCTGCGTCTCTGTGTCTTCTCCCTTTTCTGCCTCCTATAAAGACACGTGCCACTGAATTAAGGGCCCACCCTCCATCCAGAATGATCTGATCTTGAGATCCTTAATCACATCTGCGTTACATTCATGGGTTCTGTCTGGGGGTGAGGACTTGGAGATATTTGGAAGGGGGACACTATTCAACGCACTGCAGTGACCTTGGACTCTTGCCATTGACTTTGGGTTCGTTAAATGGGCTTGCGGTACCTGCTTTACAGGGTTGCTGTAAATAACATTAGAGAAAATAGTACATTCAGCAGCCT